CTAGAATAAGATTGGGAGAGAGGTTTATTAGAAGTATTTTTAAATTGGTTAGTATTGTTAGAATTGTTAGAATTCAAATTGGAAATGTTAAGCTTACTAGTAATAAGAGGTTGGTTAGAGGAAGAGTTAGTGTTAATAGTTGTAAAAAAAAAGGAATCAATAAGATCAGAAGTTTATGTGAGGGTACAATAAGAGGATTGGTAGTTTGAGAGAATTCATGTAAGATATTTTGAAAGGTTTGAGTGAGGTTTTTCTTAGTTTGATATGAACTAGCTCATGTTGAGATAAGGCAATCATATAAGTAAGATGGTAGACTTCATTGTTTTTAGAGACATATTTTTCAGTAGAGTAGTGATGCTTATTTCTCTTGATATAACCAATTGAAAGAGAGCATTTTGGACAAGTATGACAATGTACATCTGGTGTGGGAGATGGTGGAACATTATCAGTAGAGAAAAAGAGATTAGTCATGAGTTATTGGGTTATTCTGTTAATTTTTTTTGAGTTGCTATTGATGTGGACAGTTGTAAATTCAGTAGATTGGGTATAATTGATATTTGAGATTGAGATGAATTTAGTGTGGTATTTGCCACAGAGACAAGTAATTACAAAAGTAAAGGTAAGAGCTTAAAAGAAATGGGTAATCTTATTAGATCTAAGATTTTTTGTTAAACAACTAATAGATTGAACTTTAGAAGAAATTAGATAAGCCTTGTTATTGTTTTTTTCTTCGTAGATGGCAATTCTAAAACTATTAGAGAAGTTTTGATAAAAATAATCAAGGTCTGCTGTATCTGGTTCTTGTTGAATTAGAGTAGGCATTATTAGATAATAACAAGTTTAATATAAATTTTCTTAAAAACTTGGAGTTTTTTCTCTAAATTAATTTAGAAATTCTAAATAGAATATAGTTGTAAATAATGAATTTTACAAGAGTTGCAGATAGGTGCAAGAGTTGTAGTTTAAAATGTTACAGGAATGATACTAGAGTGTAACCAGGATGATAGGGTCACTAATATGACTCAGATACCAAATACAGATAAGATTTATAATACAAATTACTGTGTTATATTAGTAAAGACTGAATATGACAATAATTAATTATGTGAATAGGTTTCTATTAATAGATGGGTTACAAAATATTGGTATAAATTAATAAAGTATGGATTAGGAAATGATTATATGATTATACAAAAAACATGTAAAGGAAAAAGGTGATGGGGTAGAGACAAAAGATAGAATAAAGTTTTATAAGAGAGTAAATATTAAATTTAGTTGTAATTGGATCAATATTGGGTCAAAAATCTTTGTTTAGAGTTTGTTTTGACTAGGTAAATGTGTACAACAACTTTATTTAAGAGTGTAGAGTAGATTAAGGCAGTAGAAACTGCGAAATAGTTAAAAGTTATAAACTGGAGGCTAAAGGTCGTTAGTACAGTTTTCTTGATGAGTTTGAAATATAGAAGCTTAATATTTTCAAAATATATATAATATAATGAGCTGAACAACTTTACTTAAGAGCCCAAGACAGATTGTCTTAGTAAAATAAATTCCTAGTTCATAAATCTAATCTATTAATTAATTCTAATATTTTAGTCTTTATAAAAATCTTAATTAATAGTTTAAAACTAATTTTTATTAAATTTCTCATTATCACAATCTAAAATAATATTATTAATATTTCATTTAAATGAGATTGCATAATAAAATGATAATATATAGTAATTATTAGATATAATAAATATGTAGAGCATAATTAGTAAATATAGTGTAATTAGTATAATTAGTAGATGTAGCATAATTAGCATAATTAGTAGATGTAATATAATTAGCATAAATAGTAAATATAACAAATATAGTGTATTTAGTATATAAAGTATAAATAGAGTATTAGTTTATATAGCATAATTAGTACAATTAGTGTATATAACATAATTAGTATAATTAATATATAGAAAAAAAGTATATAAATAATGTGTTTATAATGAAAAAAAAAACAAGTCTCACAATATAATAATAAAGTAACACTTACTCTTAGTACTTACCAAATCTAATGTTTCTTTTAAGTACTATTTTATCTGATGTTATGTGAGAAACTTTTGTTTACCCTATGAATAGAGATTTTTACAGTCTATATTTTCTGTAATATAACACTATTATTCTTTTTATAAAATTTAATTACAAAAAATTTTTCTAATTTTTTTATTTTATTTCACTATATATACCTCAAAACTAATTCAAAAATTGCTATTAATTTTACATATTTACACTTCTTTCTCAATACTATTTACTAAACCATATATACAAAAAAATATTGAAAACCTAAACTTTCAACTACTTATTTTATAATATTTAATTAATTATAACTTATACAACAAATTCTTTTTTATATAAAAAATAACTTAAAATTAAATGATAACATCTTATTAATATTGATATAAAAAATTTTTAATAGTTTCCAAATACTTTCTTTTAAACTACATAAAACAATTCTTAAAAATTAGTTTAATAAATTCTTTAAAACTTACAAATTTAATTCTTCTAATATTATCAAACCTAAATTTTTAATTTTTCAAATATTAAGCTTTAACCAGATTTGTTAAAGAGTATAAAAACTTCTATCACAAACACCAAAGATGTTAAAAATTTAATTGCAATTAAATTATTATTATATAATTATGATCAAGTAAAATTGTTATAAGTATCAATTAAATTTAAATTAATTGAAATTAATTGTAAATAAATAATTGCAATTAATGCAATTAATTACAATCTTGTTATGATAAAGTTTTATAATGCATCATCTGCAAGTATAAAAAACCTCTATGTAACACTTGTATGGAACCTTTACGCTCATTGAAACCAAATTAAACATAAGGATTTAGAACACTATTTGATATATGTGTCTTCATAAAGAAATGTAAATTATACGTTATTATAAAAAAGTGATCTTTAATTTTTTTGCATATCGTAAATGTGAGCAAGGTTAGCGACGAAGACTACATCCTTAATTCGTCAAGGTTAGGGCTAGGGTCAAAGTTAGGATTTAAAGGGGAATAGTTCATATAGTAAAATTGTCCAACGAAACCTTTTTATTAGAGCAAAAAAGATGGTTTTCCTGATTGTCACGTTAAACTTAAACTTGAAATCTGATTCGTAGTTCAAAAGATCTGCACTACCAACCTTGTACACATTTTCGATATGCGACTTTTTTATTCAATTACCTACATTTTTTTAAATAAAAATTTTGGTCAGCAAATATACTTTTACATATGTTTTATCACATATTTTTTCAAACTCTGGTAAATTTGCAATTAATTGTGGCTGTGCCACCAATTAATTAATTGAGATTCAATAATTGCCTTCACAATTAAATTTTCGGTACACCTGCTTATCATTATAGTGATTATGCTCATCTCTACTAATAGTAGTTAAGGTTATTCTCAAGCAGCTACTTCAATACAGATTTTAAATTTTATCCAATTATAGTAACTCAATGAAAAAAAAAAGTTGTTAGCTAGATTCAGGTTTTTTTTTAATCGAAATGATTAAACACGATCACTTTTTTCAACTAATCAGATCATTTTATTTACCAGAGAGAATAATCTAAATCACTATCCTAATTAATTTCACTGGCAAATCTGATTTCAAGATCATAATGTATAACATAAAAGAAGCGCAAAACACAAAAAAAACACTTGTAACATAGAATTTTGGAAATGAAAGTGTCTTCTGCGTACTAACAAAATTTTTTCCTCATAAAATTTTACTACATCTATAGCAAATACTAACTATTGGTGGGACCCTAATTGCAAAATAATTTTTTTTTAATAAGATCACTGTGAGTGATTTTAAATATCAGTAAATGCTACAAAGAAAATTATTATTACAATTTTATAAAATTAATTGTTTTAATATTATTTATATCTTTACGAAAATACAATGATCCATATTTTAAAATATTTGAATGTGTTTGGAATTTCTTTGTATTTGGCGACGTTCATATACAGTATCAATAATTACATTAAATCCTCTTTATCATCAAGAAGGTCAAGATAATCTGTCGAAAGTTTAGCCATGTCATTTATTGCAATTATTTAAATGTTTGGAACTTTACGCAAACAAATTCTGATTATTTATATTATAAAAACACTTACACTACAAAAAATTTTTAATTTGCACTTAGGAAATTAATATTGAGACGGATAAAACGGCGAGTCTGTCGCTCCAACAAACAGGACCTCGCCTAACAACACAAATTCGGGATTACAGGATTTCAAGGCGTGGATTTCTATTTGGCGAATAAAACTTTATTTATTTAGTAGACTTTGAGTTTTTAATAAGTAAGTACTAACTACTACGAATTTACACTTAATAATTGGTAGGGACGTTCGATCATTCTAATTGTAATTGGGGGCACGAAAGATAAGTATTTTATTAAAGTTTTGTTTTGCTTTTATACATTTTCGCTGTTACAAATTTTGTCTATTTTTAGATTCCACCCTCATTTTTCCACCATTCTGCCCTTCTAATCGTACGATCACTGGTTTCACTAGACCGGGTAAGTATCTGGTTCTATTTGTTTTACTTTATTTTATTATTTTACAATTGTACTAACCCGCCCTTTTGTAACCTGGGTTCCACCACTTTGAAACATCGTGTTCACAATCGTAATGCCTTCCTCGATTTGGATACATTTGCCTTGTCTGATTGTCTTGGCGTTGGGGGTACGATTATGCACGTTTGAGCGTTGTGGAGTTGATCCTGCATATACGATCCTTGGGTCCCAATTGTCGTTCGTACTACGCACGAATCGTCATGTTTTTTCTTGCCTGTGACAATATTTGGGTCTTTGACTTGACAATAATCATCTGACAACTTCCGATCTGGATAATTTGGACAAAGAAATCACAATAAGATTCATGTTTATATACATCCTTTATCTTTATTGATTATCTAACTGAATGATATTAAAATTTTAACTAACCTTGTTGAAATGCCTAAGGACATTCAACTAGATCCAAAGGACATTTCGTCGTTGTCATTGTCATCGCTTTTTTTATTGCAATTATCTTTATCATTGTCGTTATAATTATTATCGGCATCATTATCTTCATCAATTTTGTTGTCACGGATTTTTTCGAATTTTGACCCAGTAAATTTAGGGTCAGAAGTAGAGGAACTAGCAGCAGGCTACAAATAAATTAAGGTTTATTAATTACTATTCATAATGATAAGAAAATAAATTTGCGCAAATAATTTATGTAACTAGTAATAAACTTATCTTGTCTCTACAGTATATACCTTGCTCTCTATTTTATATGCCTTGCTCATCACAGAGAGTATGTTTTCTGTAATTGTTTTTTTCGGCATGTTTTATAAGTTTATTTTTTTTGTGATTTCATGAATTAAAATTTTTTTTATCTAATATGAGTAAATTGTGCAAGTTAAAAGTTTGAATAACCTAACGACTTCTAATAAGGCTTACTTTAAAAGAGAACCGATTTTTTTAATAAAGTTTATAAAAAAAATTAGCATGAATGGTCCTTCAAATGTCTCACAAGTTATATAAATTTGAATATATTTTTTTAAAAAAAACTTAAAGAACGGAATTAAGAAAATGGATGAGAATGATATTTTTAAGGTCGCTTGATTTTTAGTTTTTAATTCAAACAGTCAAAATACTAAGTTAACATTATAAACCATAAAAAGTATTGAGTCATAAATTAAAGTGATTATAATATACTCACTGATCGACAGCGATTGACCAATTAGATTACAAGATCGGGTGTAACATGAAATCAAAACAAAAACTACCATTTTCTAAAAAACCGCCGTAACTCAAAATTTCGTTTATGTAACAATCTTCTGCGCATTAGTAAAAAATATTCCTTGCAAATTTTTAGTATAAAACAAGTATCATTATAATTATAAACTTGACCCTAATGTATCGTTTTATGACTTTAAAAAAAATGTCGATCAGTGAAAATCTGTCGGTGCTACTGGGTAGTTCAAAAATTTTCCTGCACGTGTTCATAGCCAATTAGATTTAAGAACTGATGTAACGTGAAAATCACGTCTTTTTAAAAAAATTGCCATCAACCCGAAATTTTACCTATGAAACTGCTTTCTGCGTTCTAATAAAAAAATTTCTCATGAAATTTTAGTATAACCTATGCTCTTCCTTATTCTTAATTCTAACTCTAAAGATGATGTTTATTACTTTAAAATCTTTTTGCTTAATTCGATTGTTTTGATTTACATGTGGGTGAGCTACTAATGTCATTGCATAGATTATACTCATATTTATTATACACCAAATTGATTGGTAATTTTGTCAATTATTATTACATAGATTTTTTCAAAAAATATATATTACTTATAAAATTTTTTAAGGTTAAGGTTAGCTTAAGTTGGATTTAAAGATATATTTAAAATTTTTAATTATTATATGTGAAATTTTAAATTAAAAGACAAATTATTTTAATAAAATTTTAAAAGATTAATAATTGTTTATTTTTTTATTCTTCTTTTGATGATTATTTAAAATTATACTAAAATAATTATCTTTTTACTTTTATTTCTAATTAAAAATACTTAGTATAATAGTTGTATATAAATGCATATTTTTTTTAAACAGTTTAGTTAATATTTTATTACAATTTTTGAAATTATTTTTGTAATTGCATAGAAATATCTAACAATTAACTCTAGCATTATCTGGTCATCTTAATAATACTAAGTGCAACTTATTATATTATTTCAAATAGAAATAGGTTATTTATCTAATTATTTAATTTAAAATAAAAGAGTTTTTTTTCTTTTCTAACAAGTTCCAATATATGATTTTAGCTTTTATTTTAATTCAATTTTTTTTCTTATTTTTTTTCTTTTTATTTCTTAATAATTTCTATTTTTCTTTTTATTTTACTTGTTATTTTTCTTTTTTTTCTATTTATTATTTTTTTAAAATTGTATTTTCTAAACTTGTTTATAAAAAGTATTTTAAATTGTTTTTGATACTGTATTAATAAATTGTTGTTTTAACTTTATACTTAAAAGTTGTATTAATTTGGCTTTTTTTAGAATTAGGTTTTTAATTAATGTTTATTTTATTTTTATTTTTTTTGTTTCTATTTTTTTAAAAAATATTATATATAGAATAAATAAAGAAACTTAAATCTAAGATGTAGCAACTTAGTGATATGGATAAGTTGTTAATTTCTTATATGATAGGTTGAGTGTTCAAATTTTATTAACAATAAAAATTTGAATAATTAAAATAGGTATATAATGCTTTGTTAGTAATGCTTATACAAAAAATAATAATTCAATATTTACTGTTTATATCTCATATAAGTAAGATGTAAATAATAAATTAATTTTTTTATCTATCTAACTGACTTTTAATTCTTGTATAAGCATTATTAATAAAACATAATATACAATTTTTGTATTTTATCTGTTTAACTGACTTTTAATTCTTATATAAGCATTACTAATGAAATGTAATATATATTTTTTTAGCATATTTAGTATGATATTTAGTATGTATATAAAAAACATAATATAGCATATAATTTGATAATTTACATTTATAATCTACATCCATAATTCATATTTTTAATCTATATTTGTAATTATCAATAATAATTAATAATTATTAATAATAATTATATAATCTATATTACAAACTTAATTATAAATAAATTAAAAATTTAATAAATATAAAAAATTTTTTTTTTAAAAACTTTATAAATAATTTCTTAAGAATTTTATTAACATCTTAAAATAGCTTCTAAAAATATAAAACCTGTTCCTTAATATATTTTTGATGCTAATCCTGTTTTTGAAAATAAAACTCCATATGAATGAACAAATTAATTAACATATATTCAATATGTTACTAATAAATATTATGAATTAAATTCAAATTTAATTTAAAAAAAATCTCTACCAAGTTCTTTTATTGAATCACAAACTCAATCAAGTAAACTTAGAATACAAAAATATTGAGTTTTATAAACTAAAAAATACAAAACAGAAATAAAAAGAAAAGATCAAGAATAAAAACAAAAATTTTAACAAAAGCAAATTGAATAATTTTATAAAATTAGTTAATATAAACTTGAAAATTATAATGAAAATAAGGTTAAAAGTAATGATATTGAAGTTGAACATTAAATAATTAAAACAATAAATATAATTTGTAATTATTGTTATATATTAAAATAAAAAAATAAACCAAATTCATTTTGTTATATGAATAGTCAAGTTAAAATTGCATTATTTGTATCTATTTCAAATATGCTTTATAATAATTTACAACCAATGATCCTAATACTGATAGATTATTTGTAAAACAAATTTAAATATATAATTCAATATTTGTATTTACCTCTTTGGAAATAAATCTTAATTAAACATTAACAAATATACAAAAAGATGTTTATATATTTAAAATATAAGGAGCTTTATATCATAAAATTAGTTTCTTAATATCTAGAAAAATTAAAAAAAGATGTGATCCAAGTTTTGTACAAATTTATTTTTATAATTCAAGTTTAGATAATCAAATAATAAGATAAATAGATTTAATATTAATATTAAATAAAAATATGATTTAAAAATTCAAAATAAATAATATGAAATTAATTTATTTGTTAATATATTTTATCAAACAGGATTTGAAGTAGATAATCATTATAATTTAACATTAATAATTCATGGTATACATGAAAAAAATACAAAGCAATACAATTAACTAATAATATCAGAAAATATAGCAATTATTCTAGAAATTATAAAAATACTATAATTCAAAAAAAATATTTTATTTAAAACATATACAGGAAAGTTACAAAAAATCTCTGAACTATATGAAGCTTATGATTCATTGCAATATCCTTTATTATTTCTTTATAGTAAATAAGGGTGACATAACAATATTTTGAGAACTAATAAAATTATAACTATATTAGATAATAAATAATCTGATAATGAATTTAAAGAATTTGATAATGAAGAATTTGATTTTAATTAAATTTCAATTTATTAAGCAACAAGTATTGCTAAAAGTACTAGTATAACAGAAGCATTTGAAAATTTATTAGTTAAATCTGCCTCAAGCATGAATACAAAATCTAATATTAAGAGGAAAAAACAAAAATTAAAGTTAGTAAAGCAATGGTTGCAATTAAAAAAAAAAAAAAAACAGAAGTTGAATATAATAAAAAAATAGTTGAAATTAATAATGAAAATAAAAATAAAATTATATCAAAAGATAAAAATTTGGATCAAATTCAAGTATATTAATTAAAACAAAAAGCAAAATGAATTACAATTTAAGAATTTGTTGTTTATAAAATTTAAGTTTAAAATTATAACAAAACAAAAAATAATTTATATTTTTCTGGTCATTTATTTTATTTTTTTTTTTTAATATTAAGGCGAGTAATTGCGACCCAGGAGTTTATTGATAATCAGTCGGCATATAACTATTGTGTACAAC